ATAGATAAAAAGAGTGAAATAAATTAAAAGGCACCAAGAGGGTGCCGCCCATTTACAAATAATCACTTATAAGGATTCCTCCACATGATATCAAAGCTATAGGAAACCAAAAAAAAAAAAAACTACACTTCTCTAAACTTAAACTGGTCTTTATTGCCAAAAACCAAACAAAACCCTAAAGCTCAAGAATCGACCTTCATTGCCACATGCCATCAAATGTGCCTAGCTAGTCGCTAGCTGCATGCCAAAAGTCGTGCCAAGCCAAACACTAGCCACACCCAACCACATGTCTAGCAACAGCAGCTGCGTAACCAAACCCTTCCAGCAAGGGTGCAAGCCTCCACCTGCTTCAGCCCTGCAACCACTGCAGCTCGCCTCTCAAGCCACCATGTATCGTCCTGCCCTTCAATGATTGACCTCCGGCTGCATTATTCGGTTGTCTGCTCCACGAAGTTCAATTGTATGAAGTTGTGCAGTGCCTCATCTCAATCAACCTTCATTGCTAAGGTATTGAAAACAAAAATGGCTAGAGTGATGGGCAAAATGTTGGGAGAGAGTCAGCTTGTTTATGCGAGGGTAAATAGATCTTGGATGCGACTCTAATCGAAAATGAGAATGTGGATGAATGAGTTCATAAGAACTTAGAGGGAGTTCTTTGAAAACTTGACATGGTTAAAGCATACGATCATGTGAATTAGGAATTCCTAGATTATATGTTCAAGATGATTGAGGGGCTCATCGTTATTCTTCAAAGCCAGCCGGGATCTCAGACAAGGAGATCTCTGGTCCCCATTATCGTTCATCATTGTCATTGAGGCACTCAACAGAAGTAATTTTGAAGGCCAAAGAACTTGAAATATTTAAGGGACTAAAGGTAGAAGATGGAGAACATCTGGAGGAGATAACTGACTTACTCTTTGCTAATGACAAAGCGTTTCTTTGTGATCCAAGTGAAAGAGTTCTACTAAATATTAGATGTATTCTTAAATCTTGCCAAATCTTAATGGGTGGACTAGGTGATGTGAGGGATACTAATAAATTATTTAGTATCCTTGGGGTGTAAAAGTGCTAACTTGCCATTCAAGTATTTGGGACTACCACTCGGGCTAAACTCAAAAATATCTCGACTTGGGATCCGATTATGGCTCGTTTTGAACAAAGTTTGGCTAAGTGGAAAAGAAACCTCGTATCCATGAGGGGGAGACTCACTCTCATTAAAAGCATTACGGCAAGCATTCCTATTTATTACATATCTCTCATGACAATACCTATAAGTGTAGCTAAGAGACTGAGTCCCTCCAATGCTAATCTTTATGGAATGACACAGAGGAAAGTATCACCTTGTGACTTGGGACGAGTTAAGAAATCCCCTCATCTTGATGGGCTTCGTTTGAGATTAATGGTGCAGGTCAATAAAGCTCTTCAAGAAAAAAAACTCTAGGGATGCATGAATGAAGATAGAAATCTTTTGTGAAGCTTATTAATGCGGAGGGTATAGGGAAGGATCGTTTTGACTCCCGAAACCTCAATCAACGTATACAATCAGAAAACTTAACGACCTAAATCCCCCTCCCTACTTGAATCTACACCTACCTATACGGTATACAAAAATAAGATAATAGGAAAAAATAAAAGAATAAAAGACGTCACAGCTTACTCGATGTCGATCCCAACTTCTTACCTCAACAAAACTTTGAAAAGCTCCTTAATTTTGAAGAAAACTTAAGAATTTAGCTAAAACTAATTCTAAAGAAAGCAAAAAGCTTAATTTTTATTAATCTAAAAAGTTGTGATTACATATTTGGGACTTAAACCTTTTTATAGGTTTTTATTGACTAGTTCGATCAGAATAGGATTACAAGTTCCTATCCAAACTCTTAAACTTAATTTAAATAGAAAATTAATTCAAAAATATTAAAATAATTAAGTCCCTATTCAAACTTAATAAAATATTATAAAATAATCAAAATAAATATTAAAAATAATCTTCCATCCTTATCGAAATCTTTAAGTAACTTGATTTTTCTTAGACTTCTAATTTAAGTATAAATTCTCCACTAATTTTGCACTTTAATCGCATAGAAAAATTTGTATTAGTCTCTTGTAAAGTGGAGTCCTTGGAAAAGTGAGGAAAGAAGTCCAAAATGGACTTAACATACTGCTGACCGCGCGGGTAGCTTGAAAGTGCCATGCAGATCGCGGGTCAAGTGTGCGCGGGTTGCTTGCTTCTGGCGCACGAAAGCTTCCCCGCGTGCACATGCGCCTGTTCCTACGCGCATCTACCTAATGCGTGCGCATGCGCATGAATGCTTCTGTTGCACACGGGAGCTGTTTTCCCACACGCTCTGCGTGCAACACATTTCCGCATGTGCAGGGTCTTCCCAATGGATAGCATGGGCCGGCCATCTTTCTTTAGGCATGATCTCCTTGGGCCGTGGCCCATTTTGGCCGCATGGCTTTGAAGCCATCTCGAGTTAGGCCAAAATTAAGTATTTTTCCTGCCTTGTAATTTCTCCAAGCCCTGTAAGCATCACTTGGGTCTTAAGCTTTCTTGCTTGAACATGCTTGGTCTATTCTCCAATTTAGGAAAGTAGTTAGAGATGGAGTTATTTTTTTCTTCAGCACGCTCCAATTTAAGAAACTAAATTCACTTTCCCGCTTGAGCCAATTCTGTTTAGAAAACAAAAAGATTCTGAACTTACTTGTCTGTTTGGGACGAAACCTGCAGGAATCCCTGTGTCCGTGTGTTATCCAGCGTTCAACGATAGAGTCGCGAATAATTAACCCATGGGAATCTGGGTTTGCACAGGATTTCCCCTTGATGCAAGATTACATCATTGGAACTAAACTTGAGCCTCATGGGATCACATCACTTATTGACGCAAAGTTTGGTACTAAGGAAAGAGTCCTCCTTTGTCGTTTCAAAACTATGTACCAAAAACTACTAGTCGAGTTTGTATTGGCTGTCATATATCTTATAAACAGGTTATCTTCTTGGGTGTTAGAATTACGTTGTCCTATGAAGGTCATCCTCTTGTGAACCTTATTGATGTATTGGTAAACTTGTAAATTCTTTGTACAAGGGGTCCCAAATTATACTTTTATACTTTTTACTTTAAAAAACTTGCATTTTCTTTTCTTTTTTATGTGAAACTATATATATTGGAACAAAATATTTAAAAAACACAACATTGTATTCTTCCATACAGATGAATCAAATACACTAAGAAAAAATGATAAAATTTCTTTGAAAGCATTCACCCTAACATTGACATTTTTTACACGAATATTAGTGTTATTATTTAATTGTAGGTAGAATATCCTATTTTAGACATACAAAAACATACACATCAAATTATTTCAATTAGTGCAAGGTGCTAATTGCAAAAATCCTCCAAAACATGGTGATATTGCAATTTTCCTTAGCAAAAGAATTGGGGGGGACCCTAAACCTATGTCTCAAGGACCTCCTTGAGGTGCAGGGAAAGAGTTTGATCCCTTCACGTTGTTTATATCCTGCAAAACTAATTGTGTAGCCCTCAAGAAAATACAAATGAAACGAAATGAAATGGAATTAAATATGAACAAGAAAATATTTCATAGATAAGGGGTGTTAGAGTTAGAAAAATTACCTCACCCAACGGAGCTCGTGCACCCATTACACCACCAATAATTGCTGATAGAGAGTATACCATATGTGGAAATCCATAAGATAAATCTGGGAGGAAATGAAGCATGTAGGTTA